AAAGAAAAAAAAGAAAAAAAGAAAAGAAAAGTAGCTGAGCTTGGTGGCACATGCCTGTAGTCCCAGCTACTTGGGAGGGTGAGGCAGGAGAATCGCTTGAACCTGGGAGGCAGAGGTTGCAGTGAGCTAAGATTGAGCCAGTGCACTACAGCCTGGGCAACACAGCAAGACTCTCTCAAAAACAAACAAGAAATTCTCCCTATTCTTTTTCGTAATGTACCTGAAGTAACTCATTAATGCTCTTTCCCTAAAACTTTTCATATGACAATAGGTAAGTTTTCCCCTACTCCCCTCTACCACCACCATAACTAATATATCCATTTCTTCAATCTCTATCCTTCTAACAGTTGCCTGTCTATAAGAAATGAAAGAGATAAATTAGAGCTTTTTTTCTCTTCACAAAATGATTGTCAAAGATAATGTCTATGTCCTCATCCCTCATATAAGCTGGACTTCTGCAGAAATATGGATGAAGATGAGGAGAAGGAAATGAACTACTCTTTTATTACAGGTAACAAAAGAATGTCAGATTATTAATATTATCAAGTCTATAAATATCAGGCTCCCACAATGTGTCACACACTGATCAGTTCTGAAAACAAAATAATGAAAAACAATTAGGCACACAAGTAGCTGAGAATATTGTGTGTATTAATCAGGGTTCTCCAGAGAAACAGAACGAACAGGATATGTGTGTATACATAGAGAGAGGGAGAGTGATTTACTGTAAGGAAATGGCTCATGCAATTATGGACTTTTAGTGAGTCCAAAATCTGAGGGAAGAAGCTAGTAAGCCTCAGAAAAGAATTGCAGATGGACACACATTATGGAATGTAATCTGTTTTATTCAAAGTCTGCTGATTTAAATGGTAATCTGATCAAAAACAAAAACACCTTCACAGAAGCATCCAGGATAATGTTTCACCAAATATCTGTGCACCATGGCCCAGCCAAGTTGACAGAATTGACCATAACACTGTGTAAACTGAGAAATGGCTTTGGGAGAGGGGAGTTTAGGGGATGAGGAAGATACAGTCAGGAAAATCTGAAGGGGATAATGCTTCCTGTAGTATGAATAAGAATTAGGGAGGTGAAGAGGTGAGGGTGGAGGTGCGGAGAAAACAGAATTCCTTATAAAGGAATCAATATGGAGGCAAGATACTGTAAGGAGCTATAAACAATTTAGTCTCATAGTATAAAATTTAACATGGAAAGTGATGGGAAATGAAGTTGGAGGGATTATGTAAGGTATTTTTTAAAAATAGAGCTGGGGACTCACTACGTTGCACAGGCTGGTATCGAAGTCCTAACCTCAAGCAATCCTCCCACTTTGGCCTCCCAAAGTGCTGGAATTACATGCATGAGTCACCATGCCAGGGAATATAAATGATCTTTCAATTAATTACCTTGGTCTTGATTCTATACTCAATAAAAATTGAAAGTTAAACAAGAGTGATAAGATCAGATTTACACTTTCATTCATCAATTTGACATGTATTTCAGAATCAAAATTATCAAGTTTGCAAGACTAGTTAATCTAATTGAAAATGATAAAAGGATTGGGCTCTGTGGCTCACGCCTGTAACCTCAGCACTTTGGGAGGCTGAAGCTGGTGGATCACTTGAGGCCAGGAGTTCAAGACCACCCTATCCAACATAGTGGGATGCCCCCTGTCTCTACTAAAAATACAAAAATGAGCCAGGCATGGTGGAACACATCTGTAATCTCAGCTACTCAGGAAGCCAAGGCATAAGAATTACTTGAACCTGGGAGGCAGAGGTTGCAGTGAGCCGAGATTGTCCCATTGCACTCCAGCCTGAGCAAGAGAATGAAACCCTGTCTCAAAAAATAAGTAAATAAATAATAAAATGTAAAGCAGGATAGATGAAAAAGGGTGGCTTGAAGAAGTAGGAACTAGTTTGCAAAATCTAGCAACTAGTTGAGAAAGAGGAAAGCATTGATGATATTAAAGAAATTGGTGAATAAGTAAGTTCAGTTTTTGATAGAATGAGTTTAAAGTGCTAGGGAAACATCCTTAGAGTAGCTTTGCAGTAGTCACATGCAAGGAAATGTTCTGGACTGGGCTAGACATGAAATTAATGAACATAGATATGGTGGTTAAAACTATTTTTTAAATTTTCAAGTCAGTCCCATAGCTGAAGTGGGTGGATCGCCTGAGGTCAGGACATCTAGACCATCCTGGTCAACATGGTAAAACCCCCTCTCCACTAAAAAAAAAAAACACAAAAATTAGCCAGGTGTGGTGGTGGGTGCCTGTAATCCCAGCTACTCAGAAGGCTGAGGCAGGAGCATCACTTGAACCTGGCAGGCAGAGGTTGCAGTGAGCCAAGATCACGTCATTGTACTCCAGCCTGGGTAACGAGAGTGAAACTCTGCCTCTAAATAAATAAATAAATAAATAAATCCTATAATTTAGATTAATGAAAAAAATCAAAATTTGTAGGATGCCTATAAAGCAGTACTTAGAAGAAATTTATAATACTAAACAACAGTATTAGAAAAGAACGACCTCAATAACCTCAGCTACCACCTCAAGAAACTAAGAAAACAAAATAGAGTAAATGATAGAATGGGAATAATAAGAACAGAAATGAGTATAACAAAAAACAGAAAAGCAATACAGAAAAATGAATGAAATTAAAACCTGGTTGTCTGATAACACCAATAAAATTAAGTGATCAAGAAATAAAGGAGAAATACCCAAATAAATGAAGGTTAATCAAAAAAAGAAAAAAAAAGACAGAAGACTACCAATATCAGAAATTAAAGAAGTGACATCACTACAACTTCTACAGATATTAAAAGAGGGATATTATTAAAATTTTATGCCAATAAACTTGATAACTTACAGGAAATGGAGAAATTTTGTGCAAAAGTAAGCAGAGGTATGATCTTAGCTCTAGTCTAACCTTAGCCAGGTCCAAAGGCAGCCTTGGAGCATGAGTTGCAACACAGTACAGTAGTCTCCCTTTATTTGTAGTTTAACAGTTTCAGTTACCTGCAGTCAATCATAGTCCAAAATTATTAAATGGAAAAATCACAGAAATAAACAATTCACAAGTTTTAAATTGTGTCATTCAGAGTGCATGATGAAATATTGGGCCATCCCATTCTGTCCTGCCTGGGATGCAAATCATGCCTTTGTCCAGCATTATCCATGCTGTATATACAACCCAACCTGTGAGTCATCTACATTGCTCCTGACAACCAAGTGTACCATCACTGCTCGATGATCCAGGATCACCAAGAAGCAGATGATCCTTCTTTTTAGGTATGGTCAGAAGGTCAGTATTAGCCTAATGCTATGTTGCAATGGCTATGTCATGCACCTCACTTCATCTTATCATGTAGGCATTTTATTATTACACATCATCACAAGAAGAAAGTTGAGTACAGTACGTTATGAGAAAGAGACATTTTCATAACTTTTATTATGCTGTATTGTTTTAATTGCATTATTTTTATTATTTTTGTCAATCTCTTACTGTGCCCAATTTTTTTTTTCTTTTTTTAAGACAGAGTTTCACTCTTGTTGCCCAGGCTGGAGTGCAACAATCCTGGCTCAATGCAACCTCCACCTCCTGGGTTCAAGCGATTCTCCTGTCTCAGCCTCCTGAGTAGCTGAGATGCCATGTGCCACCATGCTCAGCTTATTTCATATTTTTAGTAGAGACAGGGTTTCATGATGTTGGCCAGGCTGGTCTCAAATTCCTGACTTCAGGTGATCTGTCTGCCTCAGCCTCCCAAAGTGCTGAGATTACAAGTGTGAGCCACCGCGCCCAGTCTGACTGTGCCCAATTTAAAAATTACACTTTATCACAGATACATATGTATAGGAAAAAAATGTACCATTTGCTGTGTCAGGCATTTACTGGTGGTCTTGAAATATATTCTTAGTGGTTAAGGAGTGACTACTGTATTGGTCCCACCTTAAGACAAAGAGTTCAGCATTTTGTTCCCCTTTTTATTTCAGTCAGTCATTGGCTATGAGGTTGCCGCCAGCGTGGAGAAGTGGGAAATGGTGACATATGTAACCTCCCAGGTAAGGTAGTGATGTGTGTGACTTCCCAAGCTTCTCTTGGGCTGAGGACATGTTATGGTTTCGCTGTGTCTCCACCCAAATCTCATCTTGAATTGTAGCTCCCATAATTCCCTCATGTTGTGGGAGGGGCCCAGTGGGAGATAACTGAATCATGGGGGTGGTTCCCCCACTTCCACCATTCTTATAGTAGTGAACAAGTCTCATTCACTTATTGCAGAGGTGAGCAAAGATACGATCTCAGTTATAGTCTAACCTTAGCCACCCAAGAATAAGATCTGATGGTTTTATAGGGGAAACCCCTTTTGCTTGGCTTTCATGCTCTTCCCTTGTCTGTCACCATGTGAGACATGCCTTTCACCTTCCGCGACGATTATGAGGCCTCCCAGCCTCATGGAACTATAAGTCCATTAAACCTCTTTATAAATTACCCAGTCTTGTGTATGCCTTTATCAGCAGTGTAAAAATGGACTAATACAGGATGTTTCTCTAGAAAAGAAATTATGAGTTTTTAGCCATCAACACTCACAGCAGCTGGTACGGGCGGGCCAGCATGGTAAAGGGATTTATTTGTGTGACAGAATATAGTTTGTTTAGCCTATGGTTAATATTTAAATCTACGATCCACTGCTATCAAAATAAGGAATCCTGGGATGGAATCCCAGCTATAGTATTATTCCTGGTGTGATCTTGGAAAACTCAGTTTCTGCTTTGGAAAATGAGGGAAATATTTTCTATCAGCTTTGAAATTCTATTTCTATGTCTAGTATATAGTAGGTTCTCAATATTTGTTGAATAAGTGATTCTATATTGCACTCAAGATCCCATATTTAATTAGTAGAAGTCTGAAAATATTGCTCAAGAGCCTTTATTCTATCAAGTTAGCAAAATTTCTGAAAACTATTTCTTGGTAAATATTTTCAAACTTAGCAGTTTTATTCAAATATTTAATGAAATGAAAAACTTTATTTTTGTATACCTGATTACATAAGCAGCAAGTCTCCCCAATTCCTCAAACCATTTAAATATTCTGCCAGATATAACTGACTTTTAATGACCCAGCCTAAGAAATGAAAATAAAGTATGAAACCAAATTATTGTACTTTGTTCATTTGATTAGAAATCATATAAATTGAACCATACTAAATTGCTGATATTCAACGGTTCCTGACCCCCCAAAATGGCAATTTTTTATATGGCCCACACTAAATATATTTAGCTTTAAATAATGTGTTTTAAGAAATATTACAATAGGACTTCCAAAGCCTCCCAGTTCTCCCTTTTACTCTTATCATCTCCTGTCTGTTAGGGGTGTGGCAGCTATTTTTGGAAAATTTCACAATCTTTTATCTTTCCTGCATAGCATAGGCAACTTGTAGTTTCTTTAAAAAGTATAAATTAGTAGTTTTGTTTTGCTATCCTAAGCAGCTAGTACGAATAATCAAGCCTTTAATAGAGAGAATATACTAAGTTTACTTAATGTTCCTCAATTGTTTAGGTCAGTGGTTCACAACCTTTAACGTTCATGACAACCAACACAAAACTTGTTTCTGGGCCCTATTGCCAGAGATTCTGATTCAGTTTAGGTCGGGGTGGGACCCATGAATTTGACTTCCTAACAAATTCACAAATTGTGCTGATGCTATAGGTACTAAAACCACTGTTAAGAACCACTGACTTGGGTATAGAAAAAACTATTTGTAACCAGGCTTTTTCTTCTTTTGGTCCTTAGGTAAATAAAACTCAGGTTGATGAGGTATCATTTTACCTTCAATCAAAACCATTTTTGGTAAAGTACTACCTTACTTACCTCTAATGAAAGGTAAGTGTAAATTAGACTTGCTTTGACGTGGTTGCTACAGACCGCAATTACAGGACAACTGAGAAATTTATTCACTTGTCCTTTCTTTCGAATTTCACTGTGCTCTGGCTTGCCAGGAGGTGCAAGGGTCGTCCCAGCCTTGCACTTGGCTCTCCAGGCCTGGGTCACTTCACTTGAGTTATCAGAGGCAGCGCGTCCAGTTGACAAACTCTGCTGGAGGCTCCTGATAGAGAAGGGCGCGGGCTCCACTGCTGAGCCAACCCAACCCCATCCACGAGTCTTCTTTCCAGGGACCTTTTCGGAGCCGAGGGCACTGCTGCAAGAGCGCTGCGGACAGGTTCCGACTCGCTGGAGATCGCGCGACGAATCTGCGCCTCGGACCCTCGCCTTCCGGCAGTCGCTGGATTGCTGCCCCACAGGGAGCGAACCCGCCACAGGACCAGCCCAGCGCGGGCTCTGTGGATCAGCAGGCTGTGCAGGCGGCGAGTTCGCTCACGCATCTCAGTCCGCTCCCTCGTCCTCCTGCCCGCGAAGATGTTCGCGAGGCCTGAAGCAGGCTTAGTGCGCGAGGCTTCTCGGCAGATCGCGGCCGGTGGTTCTGCAGGTAAGGCCACCCTGCCCTGCCCCGCCGGAGGCTAGCCGCTTTCCCCACCGTTTGTCCTGAAAAAGTTTTCCAGACAGTTCTTCCTACTGTAGTTTTGCCCTCTTCCTCAAAATTCCGCGCTCCCGGAGCAGGGCTTGAGCCCGTGGAGGCGCGAGAGCAAAGGAGGCCGGGAGCTGACTGCCAGCACCCGGTGCTCCAAGTTAAGTTGCCGCGGCGTCCGCGCCGGCCGCTCTCGGGTTCCCGGCATTCTCTGTTCCTGGCCTGTAAAGCAAGCAGGACAACTCCGAGGACAGCGACTTTGAGGTAATCTTTTTGCCTTGCTGGCTATTTTACTTGAAAATGATCCAGTTCAGTCTTAGTTTTATCAATTGTAGCGTCTTTCTTCAAGCTCGCCCAGATCTTAAATAAATGCTGCCTTCCTCATCAAAGTACTTCGGGACTCCACAGGACTTATTGCCTACTCTGCTTGGTTGGGGATATTCGTGCCTTAAATAAGCATATTAAAATTAAATGCATATGTTAATACACATAAACACCTTGATATAATGGGCTCACGTTAATTTACGGAGTTATGCTGTTGGGGGAAAACAAACCGTTAAGAAATAATGTTATAATTTATTTTGGAAATACTTTTAAATGTAGCTGGAGAAAGTTACCACGAGATGTGTTATGTGCAAGTATTTTAAAGCTATTTTAAAATGTAAATTATGATTTGGTTTAAAGTTTAATCTTACAGTCATGCATTTTTATTATAAATATGTAATTAAAGTAATTGTAATAATTGGCTCACCACCAGAAAACATTTTATAAATGTAGCCATTCTTTTAATATATTATGGTAACTAATCATGTTAAGGCAATGACTAGAAGATGTTCAAATGTTTAACTTCGACTAGTAAAAGTATTTTACTAGTATTTTCAAACAAATCTGGACTTTTTTTAAGGGACTACTGCAAATTATGACTGGTTATCACTATGTCATGACCTAGTTGCATCTCAGGAGTACCATAAGCAGCCACATGTGTCACTTACAATCTGGACACTTTCTTAAAGATGATATTTCATCAATATCAAATTAGAGGCATGCATTTCTTACAGGTAATTGTAAAATGTTAGTTCTTTTGTTTTTTCTTGCTCTCTCTCTTTTTCTCTTTCTCTCTTTTTCTTTTTATGCTTTGAGATGGAGTCTCGCTCTGTTGCCTGGGCTGGAAGGCACCAGAGCTGGAGTGCAGTGGCGTGATTTCAACTCTCTGCACCCTCTGCCTCCCAGGTTCAAGCGATCCCCCCACCTCAGCCTCCTGAGTAGCTGGAATTACAGGTTTGCGTCACCATGCCAGCCACTTAAAAATTTTTTTTGTAGAGATGGGCTTTTGCCATGTTGCCCAGTCTGGTCTCCACCTCTTGGGTTCAAGCAATCCTCTCATTGCAGCCTCCCGAGTGGCTGGGATTACAGGCGCCCACCACCATGCCGGGCTAATTTTTTTTTTTTTTTTTGGAGATGGAGAAGGGGATTTTTTTTTTTTTTTTTGAGACAGGGTTTCACTGTGTTGCCCAGCTGGGTTCAAGCAATCTGACCCCCTTGACCTTCCAAAGTGGTGGGACTACAGACGTGAGCCAACTGCCCAGCCCATCCATTATTATAATGGCAGTGGCACCATTGCTTGCTCTTTTAGTTTTCCAATTGTGGTGATGAATTTGCACCAAGCTATTTACCATTTTTGGTCAAATTTCACAATGCCTAAGGTTCTGTCATCTGTATCTGACTCTTTGATTTGTAGTACAGGACCCTGATCGGAGAAAACTCAGCTAGTCCAAAGAGAAAGTGAGTCCAATTGATTAATATCCTAAGCTAAGACCAATGACTCATAAGCATTTGTATAGTGATTTATGTGATTATACTATGTATTAGGCACAGCTAAACTCAAAAGAATATTAAAAGCAGATCAAACTCAGCTGGGCATGGTGGCTTATGCCTGTAATACCAGCACTTTGGAAGGCTGAAGTGGTCAGATCATGGGGTCGAGAGATTGAGACCACCCTGGCCAACATGATGAAACCCCGTTTCTATGAAAAACACAAAAATTAGCTGGGCATGGTGGCACGCGCCTGTAGTCCCACCTACTTGGGAGGCTGAGGCAGGGGAATCACTTGAACCTGGGAGGCAGAGGTTGCGGAGAGCCTGGGTGACAGAGTGAGACTCTGTCTCAAAAAATAAAAAAAAGAGCAGATCAAACTGTAATTCTACTCATGCTGTTTTGTTGAGTGATAAGTACTTGGCATAAATATGTGTGATTCCATCATCTATTCTAATTGTAACTAATATAAATAAAATTAGGACATTTATAAGATAATTTAAAATAGCAGCACAGTTGATTGCCTGTGCTTCCTGGTGTCCTCCTCAATCCTAACTCCATCAATAACCGTGGAGTTATTGATAAATGATTAGAGTTATTTATACTTTCATAATAGTAAAAAAGAGTTATATTTTCTTGTACTTGGCCAAAAGCATTTTCATAAAACTTTATTTTTGTTGTACTGTAATAAATGTGGGCTAACCATATTATACGTACTGGTCAAGGCCAGACAAAAATCAATATACAAGAGAGGCAGAATCTTAATAAAAACAGGAAATGCATTTGAATCTCTGGCACTGGGGTTCTGATCACTGATATTGTTTGAATACAATACTACTCTGTGTGTGTGTGTGTGTGTGTGTGTGTGTGTGTGTGTGTGATACAACCTTTTGTTTGTAAAGGTCAAAGATACATTCTTGGCTTTCTTAGGGGAAAAAGAAAGAAACTGGGAGGTTTATTGGAGAGATACAAGGGTATCTCGTGGATTTCAAGGTCTGGGATGCATTTCTGGAACGTGCTGGAATTGGGGGTTGGAGTGCTGAGGATAACTCAGGAAGTGAACTCTCTCCGTCTCTTCTCTTTGTTAAGTAGCCAAGTGTTCCTAAGGCAGCAGGGAGGCAGCTAATAATATGGCCACAAGTATCACTACTATACCTGTCAGGATGGCTTGCAAGACTTCCCCAGTTACTTGACTGGTAAGGAGTAAGCATGCCCAAATGCAGTCAGATAGCTTATTAGTTAGCAAAAAAACAAGTCATCATGGTGCCAGCTCCCTGTGCCCATAGCACCAGTCAGCACTGAACAGAAGAGGCCAGAGGATAGGTGGGATGAGCAGGTCACTCTGCTGTTAAAGATCCACCTCTAAACCACAGCCACACAGTTTTAGAGACTTATGTTGAGGTCTGCAGCTGTAACTTAAAAGCGGGTAAGGTGGAAAGTCTTGCACTCAACTGAAACCAGGGAGAGGAATGAAAAGAAGCCTTGTTGCAGACTTCCACAAGATAGCAGCTCCTCTCCAGGCTGCTTATCTACCCTTTCACTTGGAGAAATCACAGGGCATTCTGCCAAGACTCAGTTCAGACTATGGTCTAACCTTGCCTGCCTGGTCCATGTGGAGATATATGAGGTTTTCAGGGTGCCACACTGAATCTGTTTCCCTGTGCTTCCTGGTGTCCTCCTCATTCTCACAATTGTCTGTTTTTTTGTTCTTTAGTCTGTGTAGCAGAATGTGCTCCCCAACAGCTTCTATGTATATATGCTCTTGACTTCTTATTCTTGGAGGGAGGGAGAAACTAACTTCCGTTTTATTTTCATTTCTAGTCCAAAATCCTGGGGAAAAACTAAAAATAACTGAGCATTAGTAGGGGCCCACCTCTGTACCAATCAACTGTAGCTAATCCCCTGTGCAGATTGGTGGGGCAGGTGAAGTAAGGACCTCAGGGGAGATTATTTTCCAGAAAAACTAGATACATCATGAAATGGACAACAGGTATTTTCTATAATGATATAGGCCTGTCTTTTATAAGAAGGCGATTTGTAATATTTTCACTTAAAAGACTAAAGAGATTGATACACTGACAGTTGCCTGGATAATAAACTACATATCAGAAGAAACTGATACATATATATATAAAGACTGGTCTTGAAATGTGGTTTTAAAGATTCAAGTGAGAGAGTCACAGAAGCCAGTGATGAGAGAGTCAGAAAAACCAATGATGAGAAGAACTTCAGGAAGATCAACAAGGACCAGCATTGCAGAGGGGTTAAAGATGACAATGAGAAGAGGTTACTGGATCAGACCCTTGGTACTGAAAATGTGGTCCATGGATGAGCTGCAGGAAGGAGTATGGTAGCATCTGGAAGTTTGTTGAAAATTTAGGATCCCAGGCCTCACCCCAGAAGACCTACTGTAACTGCCTGGGTGGGATTGTCGTGCCTGCTGCCTAGACAGAACCGATCTTATCAAGACAGGAGAATTGCAATAGAGAAAGAGTAATTCACTCAGAGCCAGCTGTGTAGGAGGCCGGAGTTTTATGATTACTCAAATGAGTCTCCTCACGCATTGGGGGGTGAGGGCTGCAGCCAGAGAGTCAGGAGTGCTGATTAGTCAGGTCGGAGATAAAATTATAGGGAGTCTATGCTGCCTTATGCTGAGTCAGTTCCTGGGTGGGTGGGGGAGGTGCACAAGATCAGATGAGCCAGTTAGATCTGGGTGGTGCCAGCTGATCCATCAAGTACAGGGTCTGCAAAATATCTCAATCACTGATTTTAGGATTTGCAATAGTGATGTTATCTCCAGGAGCAACTTGGGAAGGGTCAGAATCTTGTAGCCTTCAGCTGCGTGACTCCTAAACCACACTTTCTAATCTATTGGCTAATTTGTTACTCCTGCAAAGGCAGTCTAGTCTCCTGGCAAGAAAGGGTTCTGTCTTGGGAAAGGATTGTTATCATCTTTCTTTAAACTGTAAACTACAAATGAAGTTCCTCCCAAAGTTAATTTGGCCTATGCCCAAGAATGAGCAAGGACAGCTTGGAAGTTAGCAGCAAGTTGGAATTGGTTAGGTCAGATTTCTTTCACTGTCTCAGTTACAATTTTGCAATGGCAGTTTCACTACCATATGAGAACCTGCATTTTGGGAGGGCCCCAAGTCATTGGTTTTCACTTAAAAGTTTAGAAGCGCTGTGTTAGAAGACCTTTGAGAAAAAAAGATTCTATAGAGGGGGAAGGTCAAAGCCAAATTGCAGAGGACTGAAAGTGAAATCTTTCTTGGTTTTCATTGCTGACAGACAGCAACGAAATGCAGACAGAAGAATGCATTTCATACTCCCTATTTTGTGCCCTCAATTTAGCTTTCAGGCGTATTTTTCACCCCTCTCCTACACATTCCATTCAGTT